CGGCCCGCCACGGTGCTGGGCACCATGGAGATGGGGCGCCGCATGGACGCGCCCGCCAGCGCGGCGTCGGTGCGCGCCTTCCTGGAGCGCGGCCACACGGAGCTGGACACGGCCTTCATGTACTGCGACGGCCAGTCCGAGGCCATCCTGGGCGGCCTGGGGCTCGGGCTGGGCGGCGGCGACTGCAGAGGTAACGGCCGCCCTGCTTCTGCGGCCTGGCACCCAGGGTCGTGGACCTGCCCTCTCCCCGGGCCTGGGGGCCCCCAGCTCCCCGGCCCGGGCAGCAGGACGGCGCTCTGCCCCGACCCCCTCCTTCTCCGCTTCCTTTGGGACCTGCACCTCGGGAGCCCCCATCTTAACTCGGAGCCTGCGCTCCCCCTTGCTGCCTACCTCCTGCACGCGCGCACACACGCACACAACTGTGGGGCCAGGTGCTCCCCCCCCCACTCCTTGCCATCACAGCCCAGAGATTCCCTTGGGCACCCTTTTCTCATCTTGGGCTTTGGTCAGTCTCTAGACTTTGTCGTGTGCCTTTAAGAGTACTTCTGGAAGACAGTCGCTGGTGGCTCACGCCTGTAAATCCCAGCCCTGGCAGAAATGTCCAGGAGACTTTTATCTCCAGTTTAAGTACCATAAAAAATGGAAGTGGAGCTATGACTCCCATGGTAGAGTACTGGTCTTTAGTAAAAAAGTGCAAGGACAGCACCCAGGCCCTGTGTTCAAGCCCCAGAACCGCACCAGGAAAAAACAAAAAACCCTCGGGGTCTCTGGGAGCACTGTGGGGATACCATAGGAAGATTTGCGGCAAGATCTTTCTGTCTGTTGTGTGAGAGGAAAAGTGCCTAATGCCAGTGAACTCAGAGTCTAGCAGGGAAGACTGAAGCTGGGAGCTTCAGAAGAGGGAGTTCTCTGGACAAAACAGTGACCAAAGCTGAGCCTTAAAGAATACATAGTAGTCTGCTGGGAGGTAGAAGAAAAGAATAGGCCTTATAAGAGTAAGGCAATACCTGCGCAAAGACATGGCTTGTGATTGCAAAGTGATGTCTGGCAAGATGGCCACTGGGACAGATATGGCTTAAGAGGATGAGAAGGAGCTGTCCCAGTAGCTTGATGCCTCCTCTTTGCCATCCCGTGTGTGTAGAGAAGTACTTTCTTTTTATGTTTGTTGGGCAGGGGGCTTGAACTCTGGGACTGGGCCCTGTCCCTCAGCTCTTCAGCTCAAGGCTAGCGCCTTACCACTTGGACACAGCACCACTTCTGGTTTTCTGGTAGTTTATTGGAGATAAGAGTCTCATGGACTTTCCTGCCTGGGCTGGCTTTAAACTGTGATCCTCAGATCTCAGCCTCCTGAGTAGCTAGGATTACAGGCATGAGCCACCGGTGCCCGGCTGTCTACCAGGTTTTGTTTCTGAGTTGGTTTTTCTTCAACTGTTCCCTGCTTCCTTTGAGTGCAATGGCTCACTGAGCCAAAGTCCTTCGATCAGACCTAGGGCAAAGTCCACACAAGAAGGGAGCCAGAAGGGAGGGACTGTGGTCTTCTTTCCCCCTTCACATGACCAGAAAACACTCCTCTGACCTATAGGAGCAGTGCAGAGTCTAGTCCCCATCAATTGGGATTCCCTGTGGAGACAGGGAGGGCTGAATTCACTCACTCTCAAACTGTGGGAACACCTGTTCAACATGGCTCTGGTCTCTGTAGTGGAGGGATGCATGTGCAGGTTCGAGTCTGGGAGGAACTCTACTGATCTTGCTCAGTTGCCTCTGACTCAGATTGATCACTGCCAGGGCCCCATAGTCCTGCGCCTACCTCTCTATCCTACATTGCTATAACAACCCCTTCCAGGCCTGTCCCCTTGAGTTCCTTCTATATGCTACAGCCCAGGGAGCTAGCCAGCCCATTCAGACTCTGACAAAACCTGGGAAGAATCAAGGCCACATCCAGTAGAATGTTGGGGGGGGGCCTCTGGGGTCAGATGTGTGTACCCTTCTCCTGTATCAGGTTCTGCACAACCTGCCTGCAATTTACATTCTGAAAACTCAGAACGATAGCTGAGTCCTGCCTCTGTGACTTTGCCTGTCTTCTGTTGGTGCAGACAGCTTGGGTCAATTCTCCTACTGAAAGCTTCCCTGATTTGCATGTTGGGCTCAGCCCTCTTCTGAGCCTCCTGTGGGTAATGTCCTTGATGCAAGTTGGTTATCAGGTAGAAGTCCTGATACCCATGTTTTGCGGACACCCTCTGCCCAAGGGCTCTTAGAGGGCACAGCTAGCAGTTGTGTGAGTAAAGTTGGTGATTGGAGGTGAACGTTGGGAACTCACACTGAAGACATTATTTAATCCTGTGACCTCTGTCTCAGGACAGCTCCAGGTTTGGTTGTTTGTTTTGTTTTGTTTTTGTTTTTTTTGCTGGTCCTAAGGCCTGAACTCAGGGCCTGGGCGCTGTCCTTGAGCCTCTTTGTGCTTAAGGCTAGCTTGTACCACTAGAGCCACAGTGCCACTTCCAGTTTTTGATTGGTTAATTGGAGATAAAAGTCTCATAGGAACTTTTCTGCCCCAGCTGGCTTGAAATCAATACAATCAGATCTGAGCCTTCTAAGTAGCTAGGATTACAGGTGTAAGCTACCATCGCCCAGCCAGTTCCGTTCTTGTAACTGCCATTTATGGAAATAGAGGTTCAGGAAATTTAAGTGATTTATCCACGGTCACATACCCAGTAAATGGCCTTAATAAGTCCCTTAACCATTACATTTTTTCAAGTGAAAATTGCCACCAAGGCCAACCCTTGGGAGGGAAAGTCCCTGAAACCTGACAGTGTCCGGTCCCAGCTGGAGACGTCACTGAAGCGGCTGCAGTGTCCCCGAGTGGACCTCTTCTACTTGCATGCACCAGACCATGGCACCCCTGTGGAGGAGACACTGCGGGCCTGCCACCAGCTGCACCAGGAGGTGGGAGAGGGTCTCCAGAGCTCCAGGAGGGAGGGCTCTCCTCTCTTCCCATCCTCCCTCTACCAGCAAAGAGGGGGAACCAGAGCACCCAGGGCAGAGCTGGGAAGACCCAGCCCCGGGGTCCCTGCTCCCTCCTCCCCTGCCTGGAGTCCTGGGTTGTACAGAGTTGTGACCTCTCCTCTCCCCTGCAGGGCAAGTTTGTGGAGCTTGGCCTCTCCAACTACGCCTCCTGGGAAGTGGCAGAGATCTGTACCCTCTGCAAGAGCAATGGCTGGATTATGCCCACTGTGTATCAGGTGAGGGGTACCTGGTGTGCCAGGGTGCCCAGGCCATGGACTGCAGGGCTTGGCTGATCTTTCCCCTCAGCCTGCCTCCTGTGCCCTCTACAGGGCAGCGGCTCCTCTGCCCAGAGCCTGTGCCTGGCTCGCAAGTGCCCTCAGAGGAGGACAAAGTTCCTCAGCCTTGGGCTGGGAAGGTGGCTAAGTGGTAAGCGCTCATCTTGCATGCTTAAGGCCCTGAGTTCGATTCCTCAGCACCACATAAGCAGAAAAAAAAGCCACAAGTGGCGCTGTGGCTCAAGTGGTAGAGTGCTAGCCTTGAGCTGAAGAGCTGAGGGACAGCGCCCAGGCCCAGAGGTCAGGCCCCATGACCGGACCCAAGAAAAAAAAAAGTTCCTTAGCCTGGCCAGCAGGCAGCTGCCCACTTTCTGCCTGAGTGCACAGCTTGGTTCCTTACTTCCAAGCCTGGCTCTGCACCTCAGCCTG